ATAACGCGGAATATTCTGAACGTACCGTCGGCGAATGTACGCCGCCTTAAGGGACATTAAATTTGATAATATACCCTTAACCACGATCTTGTCTGATTAACGGTCACATCTCTTATTATCCAACTTAATACCATTAAGCAATCTCGTCACACCTTTATTATCAAATTTAATTTCCCTTAATTGTTCATCGTACAGCTGCAACTTCCTTACTCTCCTTAATATAACGCGAAATATTCTGAACGTACCGTCGGCGAATGTACGCCGCCTTAAAAGGTGCACGACTACGGTAACTCCGCTTATATCCATTGACCGCCGGTGTCCTTGACCTCCGGTACGCAATGGGGGTCCGATACTGGCTGCTTCCTATTCCTTCCATTTTTTATAAAACACTCTAAATCTTTTATCCTACAAATTCTGCAGATTCTCTTACCTCTACTAACCCTTCTGTTCATACACCTTAGCTTTGATGTATTTGCCCTCTGCTCCCGTACACCGGAACAAACTTCACCGGAGCTGACCGCCGACTCTCTTTCCACAGTCTTATTTGCCACGTCAAAAAGCGATCTACACACATTTGAGTGAACTGCCTGTAATTCTTGGGATACTCTTCCAAGGAGTACAACATTGTATACCAAATAAATCAACAAAAAAGACAAAAAGAAAAGGAGGGACGAAACAAGGTCCCAAAAAGCAACTTCACCATAATAGCTATCCCACTGCAAAAGCATATTCCTCTATGCCATAAAATATTTTTTGGTACCAAATATATAGCAAAACTGGCCCGCGTGTAAGGACAAAGATTCTCCATTCAAAATAATTCAAACACATTTATTTTCCCGCCTTTGCTTTATGTCTATCATTCTACAAAAATATTTGCTTTACAGCCACACAAACCACCAGAAAAGCGACACGTGTATAACACTATCTGGCAAAGGAATCAAAAGTACTCACACCACTCACACCTGAGTCCGGGTGTGACTTCCTTTTAATTACATCCATACACGTGTCCATAAGTACAGCAATGGACGGCTCAGATCAGTGGGAGGGGGGGCGCTGGTAATATTAATACAGCGCCCTCCCAGTTACACCACTCACACCATTCACACCAGGTTTTTTAACTAATAAAGAGGCCTTGTACGGCTGGTGTGAGTTTACTGTTTACCACTACAAAATGTCTCGCCAAGCCTCTTTTCATTTTTATGCCAAGAATGTTTTCCTCACCTACTCACAATGCTCATGCCGAAAAAAACAACTCTTAGAACTCTTCCAATCCCTTCTCCAACTAGTTTGTCAGCCATATTACATACTTGTCGCAAGAGAGCTCCATGAAGATGGAAACCCTCACTTCCATGCCATGGTTCAATGCACGAAGAAGGTCCAAACCTCCAACCCGAGATTTTTCGATCTCACTAGAACTAATTGCAGAATCTATCATCCAATTATAGAAAAACTCTACTCGCCAACCGCAAGTCGACAGTATATACAGAAAGGGGCACGAGTTCGTCGAATGGGGAGAATTTTCATCTAAGGGGAAAAGTCCTTCGAAAAATAGAGACGAACTCGGGAGGGGAATACTTGGAGAAGCGGAAACGGAGGAACAATTCTTTGCACTTTGTAAAGAAAGATGTTTCACCGATTGCGTCACAAAATACCCCTAATTAAAAATATTTTCGAGGGATCATTACAAAAGAGAGAGGCCCTCATATACTAGCCTCTTTAATTCATTTCCTTTCTTAAATGAAGAAGTAAAAAAATGGGAAGAAAATAATATTTTGTTTGTAAGTCGAAATTTCGTTCAGTACGAGTTATGTCAAAATTGTTGTCTCTCCGTTTAGAGGGAAGACGACTTCCTTAGATTAGGGATACAAAAAAATAATATCAACAATTTATATACTGACGAAGAACTCTCCTCATCCTCTGATAACAGGAACCAGAGCAGAGGCCCATCTGCCCAATCTCCCTCTACCTCGAAGGACCCTCAAGAACAGGCAAAACCGCCTAGGCCAGAAGCCTCGGAGGACACAATTACTTCTCCGACAGAATAAGCTTCAAGGACTACGACCAGTCCATTACACATCACCCCACCAACTTTCTCCTTTTATCTCCCCTTTCTCTTTTCCTATTGGTGAGTGCTGGTTTTTTATTGCATTTTTTTAAAGTTGTTTTTTTAGTTTTTTTTTTTAAATGACATTTATTTATAAATCTCTTTTCACCTATTTATATTTTACTTAATTTAAATTATTTTTTATGTTTCAATAAATCCTATAGATGACATAATTATCAAAATACTCATAATAATAATATGGTGAAACGCGCATTAATGTTCACATTAACAATGTGAATGTTTCATGATGTAAACATCCACACTGTCAAATTTATTTATTTATTTTTATTTTATAAAATTACAAATTCAAGTAAGATCTTATTTAATAGATCTCGTTAACTAGGTTTCAAAAATATAAATTTTATAAAATATATATATATATATATACAACAAAAATTATGAATTTTTAAAGTTCAATATATAAAAAGTACAAAATAATCCAAAACAGTGCACACTAAGTGGGTGTTTGGAAAATAGTTTTTTTTTGTAGGTTTTTTTAGTTATAGGATATTATTGGAGAATTTTTTTTTTGTGTTTGGGAAGATAGTTGAATTTTTTTGTGATTGGATGTGATGTTTGTGAGAGAAAAAGTGAAATGATTATGGGATTTGATGTGATATTTTGTTTGGATTTGTATTTTTTAGTTTTGTAAGCAATTTGTCTTTTAGTGAAAAGAAATAAAAAAAATCCAAAAAATTTCCTTCCCAAACACCGCCTAAATTGACAAGGGTTCAAAAAGTATTTGTGAGAGTAAATTATTCATAAAATATCTTAAATATGAAATTAAGATATGGTGAATCAAATGTCCAAATAATAGTACTTACTAGAATATAAGAATATGTTATAAATTAATTGAAATACAAGTACTTAAAAGATAATTTTTTAATAAATTTTCCTTAAGTTAAAAATTTTAATTTGTCTTGAAAATTATTTAATTTATGTTTTTATGAGTGAAAAAAAAAAAAATGATATCATAGCTAACTATTTTAGTGGATTACATTAATTTTTTGATTTTTTTTAAAAAAAATTGACTTTTTTACGTTTAACAAAAGCCCAAAATAACTTCACTTCGTTGACTTTAATTTGGAAAGATCAATACTACATCTTCTAAATTTCTCTCCCGTCAAATAATATCAACCAACTCTCTTCGAATTGTTTGCCACATCATTTTTGGGTAGGAATTGTAGGATGGAGCATTTTTCATTTGAAAATTTGTTCTTTCCATGTTACAAATTTATGCGTAAATTACACTAACATCTTCTTGAGATTTGTCTTTAGTATAAGTAATTCCACGTTTTAAAAATTACATCTCCTTCCCTAAAGTTTAAACTTTCATTATAATTTAATTCTTTCATTAGTCAACCGTTAAGTCAACTAACGGAAAAAATTAATATAAGAAATTATTTTTTTAAATACCTATTTTACCCTTATTTGCATATATAAAATTGACAAACAATTTACTGTTTAGGAAAATTTTATATGCCCCAGTCCTGGCATTTTGTTATGACCTATTATGGTGTTAATTATAATTATTAATTATAATATTATTTTGATTATGATTCAAAATGTATTTGGTTATACCTTATGCGATATTTAGTTATAATTATTATTTTTAGTCATAATTGAAAATGATCTAATTATAATGTTTGTGATAATTAACACCACAAAAATTTGTGTACCATAGCATTACCTAAATGTTTAATAGTATAATAACATATGTATTGAATGAATTTTTGTAATTCCAGATTCTCTTTTCTCGTTTAATATTTTTTTAAAAAAGTTTTTTAATAAAAGTAAAATAGGCATTTAAAAAAATTAATTTATTGTATTAGCTTTTTACCGTTAGTTGCCTTAACAGTTGATTAACAGAAGGATTAAATTGTAATGGAAGTTTGAATCTTAAGAAGGGGAATGAAATTTCCAAAATGTGAGGGGATACTTGTATTAAAGACAAACCTCAAAGGGTGTCAATGTAATTTACGCCAAATTTATTTAACCTTGGATTTGTTTTTTAAAATACTTTTAATAATTTGAGACCTATTTTGGCAATTAAAAAAAAGTCAACTTATTTAGGTCACATAATCTCTTTATTTTTTTTATAGGTTTTTTCAAAAAAATCAAAAATAAAAAAAAAATTTAACCTCTGAATTAACTAGATTGGAGAGAATATAAATTAAAAAAATAAAACATAAACAAATTAAATATGGATATATTTAAAATTTATTAAATTTTCAAGTCAAGTTTCATTGTTGTATTTATCATAAAAATTTTAAATTATTAAAATTTATTTGAGATGAATTTAAGAGGAAAATCACATTTTAATACGTCAATTAGGGTAAGTCCACAAAAATGTCGGCCGGAACCGCCAAGGAACAACAACATACGGTATGTTACATACGCACAGTTATACACTGATATTTTATCCCCCCCAAAAAAAAAAAAGAAAATGTGCGATATAAATTTTTTTTGTTTTTTTACACAAACATAAAACGATACCATTCATATTTAGGCCAAGTTTGGGGACTTTAAAAAAAATTAAAAAATCAAAAAGTTACTTAAAAAGTTAAAAAGTTAACACTATTCACCAAATGAACAAAGATGAATTTAAGAGGAAAATCACATTTTAATACGTCAATTAGGGTAAGTCCACAAAAATGTCGGCCGGAACCGCCAAGGAACAACAACATACGGTACGTTACATACCCACAGTTATACACTGATATTTTATCCCCAAATTTTTACACAAACATAAAATGATACAATTCATATTTACATTTACGTCTAGACAAGTTTTTACTTTATCTTATCACAAAATCACTTACTTGTACTTCACATGTTTTTATATATATATATATATTTTTTTTTGCTATGTTTCATGCTGTAATTCCAAAAAAAAAAGAAAAAAAAAAGCAAAGTTATACCCTGATCCAAAGTCTACAGATCTGGCGATCAGGCATGAACCCCATCACAGAGCTCGTCAGCCGTCTGATCGAAAAACACTGGCCCCCCTCAATTTCTTTCTAGGGTTATACACACTCTGGTACATTCGTTTCGACCCCTTTTTTGCAACCATAAACGATCGATCTTGATCGAACACCATGCCTCTCCGGCGGCGAGACGACGACGACGACGACGAGGAGCTCGAACCCGAGGAAGACGAAGAGGAGGCTCTCGATGAGGAGGATGATGATGATGATGGCAGAGGTGGTGGCGGCCGTAAGCGGCGGAGATCGGAGTTCATAGATGATGCGGCGGAGGAGGAGGAGGACGAGGAGGAGGAAGAGGATGATGAGGAGGATGATTTTGATGGCGGCGGCGGTGGTCGTCGCGGTCACCGTGCGAAGAGGCGGTCCGGGTCTCAATTCTTCGACCTCGAAGCTGCGGTGGATAGCGATGAGGATGAGGAGGAGGAAGAAGGCGAAGACGGTTAGGGTTTCTTTCCTTCATATTAATTTCTGCTATATAGATTTGCATATGATTAAAATTTGGATTTTGAGTAAGAAATGAAATTTTTTTTTTTCGAAATTGGCTCCAAAGCATTGAAATTTTTGACTTTGTATACGATTGAGTATTGTTGGGACTCACAATCGGGGGAAAATATATGAACTTTGTGTATTTTAGTTTAAGTAGTGTCATATTATTCTGGTTAATTGCTTGTGCATTCGATGAGTATTTTTTTCTAGACGGATCTTTTGTTAAAAGTTTAGTACTCAAGGTGGGTCCTTCTTGGAATTAAATGAAAACATTTCTAATCTATTCTATATCTATCCTATAATGTTAAGCCAGAGTTCTTTAGGTTTTTGCACTTGGATGCCCCGTTTTGAAGTCTGAAAACTATCTTTGCTTTTCTTTAGATTCATAAGCTGATGGGAAATTCTGTAAAGTTCATATTTAGTTGTCTAATTGAAAAATTAACTGAGATGGGTATCAGCTTTTCTGGCAATGGCCACAATGAGTGGCAACTGCAATGGAAGGTTCCGTGTCGCCATTAACTAATAGTTTCTCAAGGTTGAATGGAAATATTTATCCTGTTTTAATTAAATGAGAGTTTCTTTGGGGATGGGGGGGCCTGCTTCATGTTAGTTAGGTACCAAATACCTGAGAAACAAGAGCTGTTGAATACTAAAAGTACCTAAATTGTAGAAAGTAGAACGCTTATAGTTTGATTTTGGTTTGATTCCAAACATTTTAATTTTAAAACTAGAAGAACCAATTTGGTTAACGATTCACATCACATACACATGGACCAACCACTAAGTTGAGCAATGCTTGCTTGCGCCTGGCCTACCCAAACTTGGGGTTGTTTTGCTTGGTTTGATGGAACCCTATTGAGTGAATCAGACCCTCTTGTGCTAACACTCATCATTGACTAACTTGGTTGCCTGGTTTGGCTGCAGCCCACCGAGGTTCATTTCCATCTTGAAGGACCAACATTCCATGATTACAAGGGTTGGGAGAAAGACCTAGGTATCACACTCAGTATAATCAAAGGAATTGTGAATTGGAGGTTAGAATTCAAGGTTGTCTAGATGCTCGTTGAGCTCCCCCTTAAAATGAAGTGCACTTGGATGTGTGTGTGTGTGTGTGTGTGAGAGAGAGAGAGAGAGAGAGAGAACTAACACATTGAAGGTTAGTGTCATGTGTTGGTTGACCAAGACCTGACACATTGAAGGTTGTATCATACCTACCTTTGAGTTGTCCTGACATCTGTGTTACATGTGTGTACGTGGGTCAGCTGTTGGTGTGTTAGATACTCTTAAACCTAAATCTTAAGGTATTGAGATATGTATCCAAATATTGGGTATTTGTACAGGGACATGTTTTGAACACTTGTATATATTGTACGTCGTATAAAATTGTTAGCGGCAAGAAATAATTTTTTATTTTTTGATTGGTACCGGGGTGTCTAAATCAAAGCATGACTAATCCCCGGGGTAGCGCAGGTTTTCGGTAAGGAGTTTTCCACAAGTGTATTACAGTTAATTCAAGGATTTTTCCCCCAGTCCGATAGCCCCAAAGAATTGATAGCACCCTATGAAGCACGGATGCTTCAAATAGGAAGACGTATCCGTATCGTATCTGTATCGGATACCGATACTCCTCGGATACTTACGGATACGTATCAGATACTTATTAAAAGTATCGGATACTTCTTAATTAATTTTTCATTAATTTTGAAGTATCGGATACTTAGTTTTGAAGTATCGGATACTCCGACTCACATATTATCGGGTATTTCTTAATTAATTTTGAAGTATCAAATGCTCCAAGTCACGTATTACTCCTTTTACGAAATTAGAATTGTATTATTTCTTGCATAACATTATGATGTAATATAATTGCGAGAATAAATAGAATATTTTTACAATACTTTGCTTAGTTTTTTTTTATAAAAATAACATAGTAAGCTCAAATAATAGAATTCATCAAATTGACATATCTTCATTGTATCATGCATGTCCCCTATAACTACATAGAATGAAGGATTAATAAGATAATATAACAATAGTAAAATTAAATATCAATAAATAAATAAGCAAATAAACTTGCATAGAATATTTTTAACTAGTGCAAAAGGAAAAAATATAGGGTCAAGTTATGGATTGTTTTGATATTATAATATCAACATATTAGACTTGATATTGAAATGAAATATTTGCAAGACCTGTTGAAAATTTAAAAACTAAACTAGCTATTGGCTTAAATCAATACATAATTCTTAAATATTAGTATTTTACATTATAAAGTTACTGTGGTTTCTCAACATTCTTGAGCTTGTGTGTAACTCATTACTAATAATTTATTTATTTTTTATTTTTTACAAACGTATCCTAGCCGTACCCGTATCTTACTTTTTTAGGTTTTGTTGTATCGCCGTATCCGTATCGTATCGTATCCGTATCTCGTATCTATATCCGTGCTTTCTAGATAGCACCTCCTTGAACCTTGGAGGTAGCACACTCCCCAACACTCAATGCCTTACCACCAGGCCAACCCCTTGGGGTTGGCAAGAAATAATTTTTTACTAGCACATGTGGGCCTATTCTTCTTTAAACATCATATAAAATTAGAGAATCCAAGTGTTTAAATTGTATACAATTGTTGGACGGATATCTCACACCATTACTCTTGTCATATCTAGTGGACAACTGTTGGGAAAATAAAAGAGTCCATGTAACACTACCTAACATGCTCGTAAGGGATGTATCATACTTACCTTTTGCCCACATATGATACATCCCTTGAGGCCATCCTCCGAGGTTGCAGAGTTTACTCTATTTTCCTTCATTTTGCTTAGACAACGGGGTCACACCACGTGTGCTTGGCTGAGCTAGCTTCCTCTGAATTGCCCTCTTGTATAAAGGGAACCTCCATGCAGGCTATGCACAATCACTGCCATTGCTACCTTCATTTTCTCAGCTCTCTGGTGCTCTATTGCCACTCTCTGTCTCTGCTAAGGTTTCCTTGGTTCTCTAGTCTCCCACTCTTGGTGGTCTCCAACCATACCAATATCCGCCATCTTCTCATAGTGCACTCATCATCCAGCTCACCCCTCCTTATCCACACCAGACATAGTCAAGTATTATACTTTTATTTGTTTGCAGAATCTAGACCAACTAAAATAGACCTGGTGGATGCAGTTGGAAAATTTGTATGAGATGGGTACATTGCATTCAGTGTAGTGTAGTTTTATGTTTTTTCTTGTAGATCTTGTGGGAAAGTCTTCAATCAATGTAAGAGTTCTATGGTTTTTTGTGTTATTTTTTGTTATCCTACAATATCAATGGCAATTTTGGTTCCTCCTCTTCTTCCTTCCTCCTCCTCTTCTTCTTCTTTCCTCCTCCTCCAAGAGATGATAAAAGAACAAATTTTCTCATAAAAATTTAATATTCACTATTTCCACCTAATCACAAATTCAATATGCTCATGTGTATGGGATAATATAGTAAGCAACAGTATTCAACTCTGCATACATTGTTCTTGGCTTAGTGGGAGCTTGATAATTTGCTTTCTGCAATTGGTAATACTCACCGGTAGTCATGCATGGTTTTTTTTTAATCTTTATGTATGTTAATTGGCTGGTTTATACTTGGCCTGCATTATTATTGCTGATCAGTTGAGCACCTGAACTTGCAGACTTCATAGTAGATGGTGGAGCTGAGCTACCAGATGAAGATGATGGCAGAAGGATGCACCGTCGCCCATTGCTACCAAGGGAGGAGGACCAAGAAGATGTTGAAGCTCTCGAGAGAAGTATTCAGGCAAGATATGCCAGATCAAGTCACACAGAATATGACGAGGAGACAACAGATGTTGAACAACAAGCTCTTTTGCCATCCATCAGGGATCCAAAGTTGTGGATGGTGAAATGTGCGGTATGATTATAATTCTTATGCTATTCATTATGTATAATGTCTATGTGATATCAGCATAGTCTGTTTATCAATTCTATGTTTGCTTGTTCTAGATTGGTCGTGAGCGGGAGGCAGCTGTTTGCTTAATGCAGAAGTGTCTTGATAAAGGATCTGAGCTTCAAATTAGGTCAGCTGTAGCCCTTGATCATCTCAAAAATTACATATATGTTGAGGCAGACAAAGAAGCCCATGTGAAGGAGGTACACAGCTATTGATGTGTCAAATGTTTTTGTTGTCGAACTTAGAATCACCCGTAAATGTTGTATGCATTTTGTGCTGTGATTGGAAACTGATTGTGTTGCCATCTTGATTCTTCTTCAGGCTTGCAAGGGTCTGCGTGTAATATATACACATATTAAAATAACACTCGTTCCAATCAAAGAAATGACTGATGTTCTTTCAGTAGAAAGCAAAGCAATTGATCTTTCCAGGGATACTTGGGTCAGACTGAAGATTGGAAAGTATAAAGGGGACCTGGCAAAAGTATTGACCTTTACTTTTCTTCTTGTCTCTTTCCTCTTTTCATTTTTTTTTTCTTTGGAACTCTATTAATTTTTTGCTTCACCTTTTCTTTTCTACTGTTTGTGCTTCTACATTTCTAGGTTGTGGATGTGGATAATGTGCGGCAAAAAGTAACAGTGAAATTAATCCCACGTATTGATTTACAGGCTATTGCAAATAAATTGGTATGTATACATCCATAACTTGTTAATGTAGGAATTTGTATTATTGCGTATAATATGAACTAGTTCTATTTATTTTCAATTTTTCACTTTGAAGTAAATGTAATTATGTGAAGGAATTGTTTCTTCTGCTGAATAAATGGAAGGATTTGAGATAGAGAGATTAAAAATGCTTAATGATCAGTATTTTGGATCAATATTGCTCTGGCAATGAGTTATCTTGTAGAGGACTCCTTGTCCCCTTTTGTGTTTCACTTCATTTTTCAATAAAATCTCTTTGGTTGCCAATAAAAAAAAGATTCTGGCAATGAATGCAATTGAATCTGGTGTTTGCATATACTGGGTTCTTACAAGGCTAATTCTTTCTATTTCAGGAAGGTCGGGAAGTTCCAAAGAAGAAGGCATTTGTTCCTCCTCCACGTTTTTTGAACGTTGACGAAGCTAGGTAGACTTTCTTCTTTCATCTCTAATTGCAACACAGATGGTACTCAAATGTTTGTATGCTATACTTAGATGATGCATTGTTTTCTTTGTGTGCTATCTTTAGAGAAATGCATATACGTGTGGAGCGTAGACGAGACGCAATGACTGGTGATTACTTTGAGAATGTAGGCGGAATGATGTTCAAGGACGGTTTCTTATATAAACTTGTATCCATGAAATCAATTAGCACTCAGAACATACAACCAACTTTTGATGAACTCGAGAAATTTCGGCAACCTGGTGAGAATGGAGATGGAGATATGGCTGGTTTGACAACTTTGTTTGCGAACAGAAAGAAAGGCCATTTTATGAAGGGTGATCAAGTTATTGTTGTCAAGGGAGATCTCAAAAATTTGAAAGGATGGGTTGAGAAAGTTGAGGAAGACAACGTTCATATCAGACCAAACGCGGAGGGCCTCCCAGTAATGAGAATTCTTTGTTTTTTTTTTTTTAATGATCATTTCAAGTCTCTGTGAATCTGGTGTAATTTAACCGGTTTGCATATTTATTTATTTATTTTTGCAGAAAACTCTTGCTGTAAATGAAAAAGAGCTTTGCAAGTACTTTGAACCTGGGAATCATGTGAAGGTTGTCTCTGGTGCATCAGAAGGTGCTACTGGTATGGTTATAAAGGTTGAGGGGCATGTAGTTATCATTTTGTCTGATACAACTAAGGAACATGTAAGCTAATGTTTTTTTTTTCCAACTTTGAAATATTTGTTATTCTTTTAATGGACAAGTGATCACAATTTTTATTGTTTTCAGATACGTGTATTTGCTGATAATGTTGTGGAAAGCTCCGAGGTAACTTCCGGTGTTACCAGAATTGGGGACTATGAGCTTCATGATCTTGTTATGCTGGAGTAAGCTCCTCCTTCCCTGCATCTCTTTTTCTTGCTATTCATGTTAGTTAAAATCTTATGTGTGATCTTGTTTTTGTGCAGTAATATGAGCTTTGGGGTAATCATACGCGTAGAAAGTGAAGCTTTCCAGGTGCATTAATTATTTGAACAACTCATACAGGTTTGTATATGACTTGTTTATCAGGTTCTTAAGGATTTGTGTGAATGGGTTTGCAGGTTCTGAAGGGGGTCCCAGATAGGCCGGAGGTTGCACTTGTTAGATTAAGAGAGATCAAATGCAAGCTCGATAGGAGAACTTTTGCACAAGATCGGTCCAAGAACACCATAGCTGTGAAAGATGTGGTTAGGATTCTTGAAGGTCCATGCAAAGTGAGGCATCACTAACTTTATTCTGATTTTCTGGTTACACTGGCTTTTGATTATACGGGTTCTTACTGTTCTGTCATATACAGGGAAAACAAGGTCCTGTTGAACATATTTTTAGAGGAATTCTGTTTATTTATGATCGTCATCACCTTGAGCATGCGGGCTTCATATGTGCTAAATCCCAGTCTTGTGTGGTGGTTGGTGGATCACGTGCAAATGGCGACAGAAATGTACACAGTATACATATATGTATATGTATTTATTTATTTATTTTGTGTGTGTGTGTGTGTATGTATATGTATATACTCTTCTATACATATATGTATTTTTTGTGTGTATAATTAACTTGCTCTCATATCTTTCATTTAGGGTGATTCATTGGCTTCAAGATTTGCTCATCTTAGAACTCCACCTCGTGTTCCTCAATCTCCAGGGAGATCGGCTAGAGGCCCTCCGATGAACTGTATGTTGGCGATCTGATCATGCTTAGTGCTGTGTTGACATTTGTCATTTGTTTCTTTTCTTCTACCCCCTCCTTGAATTCATTCTTAACTCTTTTGGTTGTTCATTATGATCTCATTCAAGATAAATAATTATGTTTTCAATGCCTACTTGCTGTGTTACAGCTGGAGGAAGGCATAGAGGTGGAAGAGGAGGACATGACGCTTTAGTTGGTACCACGGTAAAAGTTCGTCAGGGTCCTTTCAAGGGATATCGTGGACGTGTTGTAGATGTTAAAGGTTCATCAGTAAGGGTTGAGTTGGAGTCTCAGATGAAAGTTGTTACAGGTAAGTTTCTACAATTAGAGGAACTTTCTTTTTTTTTTACTCCTTGATTATTCTGTTTTTTTTTTTTTTTTTTTTTTTTTCTTTTTTTTGGTTGTGATATATAACTCATGCTTTTTGGACAGTTGATCGCCATCATATTTCCGATAACGTAGTCGTTTCAACTCCATATCGGTAATTATGATCTTGCCTTTGTTTGCTCTAAGTATCTTAGATTTTAGACTTCCTAACTGGTTCCTTTTCTGCAGTGGCGCTCCTCGATATGGATCGGGAAGTGAGACCCCCATGCATCCTTCACGAACTCCATTACATCCGTATATGACTCCTATGAGAGATCCTGGAGGTCTCTTTTTTTTCTTTTTTTTTAGCTTATTTAAAAATCACGTTTCTCATAACTGTGTTTCACTTGTTTATCAATTTGTGCGTCTCTTCCATTTTTGCCACAGCAACACCTATTCATGATGGCATGAGGACCCCTATGCGCGACAGAGCATGGAATCCATACACACCAATGAGTCCACCAAGGTTTGTTGCTGAATTTTATATATATTTGTGTGTTATCATTTACTTTGTTAAAGGCTAGCAGGTGAAGATCTGTACTCAGAACTATGTATAGGTTAAACATACAAGTATATATAAATTTGTATTCTGCCTATGCCTTGCGTTACTGGCTGCATACATATACGCTCACTCATTCTGTACATTCACTGGGCAGTAGTTCTTCAATTGTTAAAGAGGCTTGCAAATGTAGATTGTTTCTTGTGTTGCTTTACATTCTGGGGGAATATATTTAGGTTGTTTTAATTTCTGGTTGCCTTATTTCTTGAATGCATACCTGCTGCATATGTTTTTTAGTTGTGATTTTCTGTACTGTCATTTCCTCCGTCTCCTGATGAACAATCTCTGGAATGACTACGAATCAGGGATAATTGGGAAGATGGAAACCCTGGTTCCTGGGGTGCAAGTCCACAGTATCAGGTCAGAAATCTTGCCCATTTTGATGCCAGTATCCAAGCAAGTGGATTGTTGTTTTTGTATGTGGTGTTGATGTATTATCATCATTTCTCAGCCAGGAAGTCCTCCGTCAAGGGCATATGAGGCACCTACTCCCGGTTCAGGTTGGGCCAACACTCCCAGTGGCAATTATAGTGAAGCTGGAACACCAAGGGATAGCAGTCATGCCTATGGTAATCAAATGAACAGTTTCCTTTTAAATAGTTGGCCCTTCCTCTAAATTGTTACTCATCTATTCCTGTGTCTGTGTGTGCAGCTAATGCCCCAAGCCCTTACCTGCCATCTACTCCTGGTGGACAGCCGATGACACCAAGTTCAGCTTCATATCTTCCTGGCACCCCTGGAGGGCAACCAATGACACCAAGTGGTGGTTTGGATATTATGTCTCCTGTTGTAGGTTCGTTTTCCATTTACACACAAGACTCGATATGATAGATACAGGACTTTTATTTATTTGTAGTATATATTTTGATTAAATCTGGTAAAGTCAAATAATTTATTTATTTATATTATTATTATTATTATTATTATTATTTATTAATGCTGCTGCTGCTGCTGCTAATAATTGGAACTTAATTAAGTAATTTCTCTGTCACACGGTATTATAATTTTTTCACTCTGTTTGATGTGTTGGAAAGCACAAACCATCAACTTCACAATCCATTGTATCAGTGGGCTGTAGTAGATCTTGGTATCAGAGATACGACTAACTATTTATTTCTAAGCTTCTTGTGTGTCTCTCTTAAGTTTGGGTGGTGTCTGACCTCACGTTTCAGAAAACACAAGGATAACATTCTCTTTTTGACAGGTGGGGACAACGAAGGACTTTGGGTATTGCCAGACATATTGGTCAATGTACGCAGATCTGGTGACGACAGTGCCATCGGAGTTGTCCGAGAGGTGTTCCCGGTATGTTTTTGCAGAAATGACATTCTTGAATTTCTATCCTTACTATAGCTTAGAAACAAATGTGAGTTTCCTTAGTGTAAAAGACAGGTGTTGGCTTCACTCGGAAGCTTTGGGAATTGGAAATAGTAAGCCTTCGTTTGGGAAGTGGGTTAGCTTTTTGGTTTTTTTTGGCTATTTTAGCCTGGGGCTAAAAAGCCTAGTTTTGAAAGGGCTTTTGACTTTTTTGGCTTTTTTTGTGAGAGATAATGTAATAATTATGGGTTGGATGTGATATTTTGTCTTATTGGGTTAAAAAGTCTATTTTGTTTTTAGTGGCTAAAATAGCCAAAAAGGCCCAAGTTTGGGCTTTCCAAACGAAGGCTAAGGCTTCGTTTGACAACATTACTTTTTAGCCTAAAAGCCAAAAAGTCACTAAAAAAATCAAAAAGCCAACAACCTATATAAAAAAGTCGAAAATTTTCTTTTCTTTCTATTTTTTGCACATCTTTTCGTAAAAAATCAAAAAGTCATCCCAAGCATATTAGTTTTTTTTACCTCATATTTTAGTTAAAAAATCAAAAAGTTACTAAAATAATCTGTTCCCAAACGAGGCCAAGTAGCCTTGGCTTGGCTATTCAATAGAATATTAATAACAGGGACACAGATTAAGATTGAATTCTCCGAGGGAAAATCAGTACTTGAAAAGGCAGCTTATATTGGCATTTTAGTGCACATTTTATTTCATGTACATTTCGGGGAGAATACGTGCATAACATATTATGGTCATTTTGAATGGAATTTTGTCTCTTGTTGTTTTTATCATTTTATTTCCGGTACATATTTGAAAAAAAAAAAAATATATGAAGAAACAATTTGTTGGGAAGGCTTTGGTGTGAACTCTAGTTCTTGAAATGCAGAAGCTTCTTGTAGTTGTTTTTAAAAGTAATTTTCCAGAACACTCTTGTAAGTGTTAATTTTTTGGGTAATTTTTCCATTTGAGGATGTAACACAGTTTCTTCCCTGACATGGTTGTTTTTGTGTTTCAGGATGGTTCATGTAGGATAGCCCTTGGATCAAGTGGGAATGGTGAAACATTAACTGTCCTTCCCAATGAAATTGAAATAGTGGTACCAAGGAAATCGGACAAGATTAAGATCATGGGAGGTGCACAGCGTGGGTCTACCGGAAAGCTGATTGGTGTTGATGGTAGTGATGGAATCGTTAAGGTAGATGACACTCTTGATGTTAAGATATTGGACATGAACATTCTTGCCAAACTAGCACAACTGTGATCTTTGTAGTTAGTGTAAACACAAATTAGGTCATATTCTCATTTGCATATTGACAAATTTCGAAAGTGTATATTTTTATTTTATTGATTTCCAAGTTTTGTATGGCTTTGTGAGATGTTTTGGCTCTCTCTCATGAGCTCTGTATGTTGTGTGTAACCTTTTTTTTTAATTTTTAAATAAGAAAGAATTTCCCCGTCCTTTTTTTCGGAGAACACTACGAATGTGTAATTGAAACTATGTTTCCTTTTTTGGTTATCATATGGAAAAGAAATTTTGATGAAGGTATATGACAGTTTTGGCTTCTAATATAAAGTATTCTCCCTCGGTCTCATGATTTCTTGTTCTTTCCTTAAAAAATAAAAATATGTTTTTATCAATTAAGAGAAGGAAAATGTTACAAAATAATAATATTAAAAAAATTATTAGTTTGGGCATGCATGCATGCATGCAATAATGAAATTTTAAAAATCTGAAACATGATCGTTTTAATAATATGAGAGGTATTAAAAAGGTATTGAAGAAGTTCGTAAAATTTATTAGTTTGTCAGTACTTGAGTGCTTTTTGGCCTTCGATGAATTTTGAAATTGGTCTCTGAATTGGAATGGTAAAATATGTATGTTTTTTTGTTTGTTTTATTTTTTTTTTTGGCACATATGGTACTTTTTGTGATCTTGATGAGAACTGATTTCAGGGTAAGTTCTTAATCATGATCCAAGTTGCAGCAGCTGCCCCTAATGCTTATAGTTTGCCTGAATTTTTTCATCAAGCTTTTTCCTTCCCCTCTAAAAGTTTCATGATTTTAGTGCATATGGATTTTCCATTTACAGATATCGCTATTTCTCTGGTTTTTTTTTTTTCAAAATATCTACAATCATTGAACAATTTTGAAATCCTTATATGATTTAATGATTATAAATATTTTGAAACTGAAAAATAAAGGCAATCCAAGTTGCAGCAGCTGCCCCCTAATGCTTATAGTTTAGCTGAATTTTTTCATCAAGCTTTTTCCTTCCCCTCTAATGCTGTGTTTGGTTGGAGTTTTTAAGGTGAGATTTGGAAAAGGAATGAGAAATGTAATCCTATTTATGTTTGGTTATAATAAAAAATATATGGGAAAAGAAAGGGGTGAGAAATAAATAAAGAAATAGGAGACCTTTTAGGACATCAATTCTATTTTATAACCAACACAACCAAACATAGTTGGGATTTGGAATTCTATTAATTCTTTCTCCTTTTCCTTTCATTTCCATTTCCCTTTCCATTTCCCTTCCCAAATTCCCCAACCAAACACAGCGTAAAAGTTTCATGATTTTAGTGCATATGGATTTTCCATTTACAGATATCGCTATTTCTCTGGTTTTTTTTTTTTCAAAATATCTACAATCATTGAACAATTTTGAAATCCTTATATGATTTAATGATTATAAATATTTTGAAACTGAAAAATAAAGGCATTTGGAGACGAAAAAATCATTAAAATGTCTTAGTGATATGCTTGCAATGACAAGTCAAGGGCAAGCAAGCAAACCTAAGCCATGATTTTGCAGTCAGATACTAATTTACTAAAATGCTATGTTGTGTTTTTTTAAATTTTTTTTTAAAAAAAAATTGTGTGTTTGGTTTGGTTTTGAGAGATAAAGTTTCAAAAAATATTTTAGAGAAAGTTTAGAAATTTTTTTGATTTGTTTGGTTGTATGTTTTGGAAATAGTTTTGGAGTATGGGAGTTTGGAATGATTTGATATTTTGTTGTAGTTGAGTAGATATGTGTGAGAGAAAAAGTGATTGAGAAGAAGAAACAAAAGAGAAAAAGTGATTAATTGATGTATAGGAGAAAGAAAGTGATTTTAAATTTTTTTTTCCAAAATCACTATACCAAATAAAATTTTAAAAAATTTTCTCTAAAATTATTCTCTCAAAAATTAACCAAACAAGGCCATAAATTTTATTATGAAAGCAAAGGAGAAGTAAAGTCAAAGGGAAAGGAAGGGGAGGGGGACAAGACAGAGAGTGATGGGCCGGTGCAGGCCGAGGCAACGTGGCAACGGTGTGAGGGTGTTGGTGGGCTGTAGGGCCCATTAGCACGCCTCTCTCTCTCTCTCTCATCTCCCATTTCACTATCAAACAGACTTGTTATTAGCAACAGATAGCTCAGATAGATACAGATACATGCAAACAAGAAAAAAAGAGAGACCAAAAACAGTGTCCCAAAATTACCAGACACAACACTATAACATTCCAGGCTTTTATCATCCAACAATTTGTACCTTTATTTTTGACCCAACAAAATCTTTTTTTTGGATATATAGTTGTGGTGGGTGTACACGGATTGAATTGGTCTAGTTCTAAAGCAAATTTGGAATTGAACCGGTTATGGAGTTAATGGTCGAGAAAACCTCATGTGATCCTTTCAAGTGACTCGAAATCAAAATGTTAAATTTTATTTTTCAATTTTTATCATTCAGTCAAACCATTGGGGTACTAATTAGCAAAATCTTCCCATTTTATCCAAAACACAGCCTTCATCATTGTCAAGACTAGTTAAAAAATCATAGTTACTATATTTTTCTGATTGTTTAGCATGTGTTCTAGGTCTTCCTTGGATAATGAGTTAAAAAAGACTTCATAAATTATAGGGTTTCACCCATCACATAATTTTGAAAAGTAAGTAAACTTTTACAATAACTTTAGAGCTTTATGAGCATTGAAAAAAGTTGAGCCCTTTTTTTACCCCACTTTTTTGCAGTGAAATCCCAAGTAGGATCCAAGATAACTTTTATAAGGCTTCCAATAGGGAACCCTGAATTCAGAACTACTTCACAAAACACAAACAAGATCTGGACCATTGAGTGATCATTAACATTATAGATTTGAAGATCTCTCTCTCTCTCTCTTTTGATTTTGAGTGATCTCTCTCTCTTATACCATTAATAAAATAAGAGGTAATGATCATGTTCTAAGTTCTTCAAGTGGGACCCAATGAATAAATGAGGAGTTCATTGTTCAAATAAAACGGTTAGCGCCTATTTGGTAACGTTTACGTTTTCAATTTATATTTACAAAAATTTTATAAGCTGGTTTTTGTTTACTTTTTATTTATTTTTATAAAAACATAATCTACAAACGCGTTTGGTTTAGACAAAATGCTTAAAAAAATTTAAAAATATAAAAAAGAGTGAGAAATGGCAAGTGGTGGCGGGTGGTGGGTGGAGACGAGTGATGGCGGCGAAAAACACACCCTAAGTATTACCAAATGGCACCTTAGTAATTCGAATTGCTTGAATTTGTGCACGCCAATTGATCACTCGGACGATCATTCGAATGACCGATGCATGATTTATTTACTGTGATTATCATCCTTATTGATCGGGACTTTCATCTTGTTGTCGGATGACCGACCGAATAACTAATAAGCCAAAAGTTAGCCAATTCAAACAAGTCAAAATTGGGATGATGTAACCTTTCTGTTTAAAATAGTTTAAAAATTAAGAAAGTAATAAAAATAATTTATAAAATACTATTGCACGATAATTATGCCAATATTCACTCAATGTGATTTGTACTCCAAGTACGGTCCAAGTCAGTACGTGAGCTACATGCCTATTATCCTTCTTTCGGCCTTTGGGCCCAATTCTTTATTTGTAATTTTTTTTATGTTTTATTTCACGGTTTTTACGAATGGGCGGGCTATCATGGTTCATGAATAAATAAAATTCAAAAGAAGTTTTACCAAGCGGTCAAACATTCCGTAAGAGTGAGTTGTGCTTTGGAAGCATCCACACCAAACTCTGGCTCTGTTTGGAACAGTTTTGAAACTAAAATTTCAGAATTTATTTTGCATATGATGTTTAATTAGGAGTTTCAAATCATATTTTTACATACTTTTAAAAATTTTGGCTAATCGGTCGTTTCATCAATCGTCTGATCGGTTGACCGGCCAATTGACCAGAACAGTGTAAATATATATATATATATATTTTTGTAATTGACATATGTTAATTTTTATATATTCGAAAAAAATATTTTTTGAATTTTTTAAAATTTTTTATGAGCTTAATAGAATTTTGAGTTGTGCGTTTGGTTATGAATTGTAAGTTTTTGTATCAAATATCATATGTCACATCAAAAATTTCCAACTCAATACAAAACTTTTTTTCAAAACTCTTTCACCAAATAAATTTTCTACACTCAAATTATAATTCTAAAACTCACAAACTCAAGATACAACTCCTACTCTCAAATCATATTTAGAAAACTCTACCAAACGTAACCTTTAATTTTTTAGTTAAATTAAAACTATTTCATTATTTTAGCTATTCATCTTTTAGCACCTACTACATCAAAATCTTTATTCTAACTTATTCTTATTAAACATTTTTTTCTTATTATGTTTGTTAGTTTTTCTTTTTTTATTAAATTAATAAATTATCAGCCAAACAATTCTTTAAAAAAAAAAAAAATTACCGTTGATCGATTGATCGGCCAGACTTCCGGACGGACGTCCGATAGCACACAAATAGCGATGAACAGTGCCTCGTTTATTGTAATGAGTTACTGTAGCTATCGTAAATTTTGACGAGTTGTAAACGAGTTTGATATAATTGATTTTTTAAAATTTTTAGCTAAAAAATGATTTTAAATAACTTGATACAGATGCTCTTATGGGTACGATGACGGGATGTCCTAAATATGTTATGATTTGTGAAAATAGTGAGAGTGATTAAAAAATAGTAGAAGGCATAGTAATTTGTAATTACTCAGGAACATAATCACGAGGTTCTCATGAATCAAGAAATAATTTTTCTGTGCTTGATCATCGTTGAGGGTCCGTGATAACTACTGGTAAATCGTGCGTTCCAGAGTATAGCATCATCATCATCACCCCATTTCTGATGAAAAAGGATGATGTGGATCGAGTGCCGTACAAGAAAAAAAGTTGAAGGAATCCAACTATATCACATGATCATCCCTCACTCTGCTAACTCCGTTACATATTATAAACACTCTCTCTCTCTCTCTCTTCAATATCACAAGAAAAATTATGAAAATTCACACATCTATTGAGAATTTTTTGAGTGGTTGATTGTATGGTGGATGTGGTGATGTATTTTTTGAATACCAAGATGTGGTAAGGTGACGCCGACGTGTCAGTCGAAGTGCCACGTGTTCTGATTGTTACGCCGAGGTTATCTCGGCAAGGTCGAGGTTATCTCTGA